TTTTTTTTTTATTTATATAAAGGCTTCAATTACAAAGATTATTAGCCAATAATTACAAAATGTTAGTTTTACAATATAAAAGATGACAATATTTTATTATTATAGGAATACAATGTGAAACATTATAATATTTAAAGTTTTTTATCTAAATCTAATTTTTTTAAAAATTTAAAAATGTTGCCGGAGTTATGTTAACTGAGAGCTTCTTCGAGTGATCTTGGATTATTGAGAAGAAAATGTGAGATTGAGAATTTGGGGCAGTCCATAACAATGTGTGCAATTGTAAGGGAAGTATTACATGTGTCACACGTGGGGGAGGGGGTTTGCTTAGTTATCAGATATGAGTGAGTGATATGAGAATGGCCTATTCTGGATATGTTTATGATTATCTGTTCTCTCCTTGATGCGTTCTCTGGATATGCCCATTTGGATACAGTTTTTTTTGTTTCTGAGTTTGTTGCTGGAGGGAATTGAATCCCAGTTATTTTGCCATATTTTTATAATCCGTTTATGGGCTTCATTCGTGAGATATTTAATTGGTAATTTATTTATGATGGATATTTATTTATTTATAATATATTTATGTACATTTATTTATTTATATATTTATTTATTTATTTATAAATATATTGTATATATATAGAAATAAACAAATGCTTAGCCTGGAGTATTATTATGTTTGTAAATTATGAACGGTTTTGAATTAAAAATTCATTGTTAGGTATATACAAATTCAATAAAATCGCGACTAATAACACTCCAGGCTAATCATTTATTTATTTATTTATATATTAATTTAGGAGTATAAACTATTTAATATTTTTTTTTATTCTATTATTGATTATTTTTAATATTACTCATTCAAAAATAATTAATACATATTATTAAATCGAAGTAAGAAAAAAAGTAAGTCATATGAATTCAACCAAACAAAAAGTTCAACGATTATTAATTAGACAGGGACGGCGCGAGGGGGGAGGGTAATAGAGGCAGTTGCCCAGGGCCCCACGCTTTAAATTATAATTAAGGCCCCACGGTTCTGATTTAACTGAACTTAAAATATTTTATTAATATAAATTATAAGACCCAACGTTTATTTTGCTCAGGGTCTCACAAACTCTAGCACCGTCTCTGTAATTAGATATGATGATAGTGACTAGTTAATTGTTTTCATTACATATTAAATATTATAACTCAACTATTATAGAGTTTTATTTATTTATTTATATATTATTATATTAAAGTTTTATGATTAATAATTGTTTCTTAAAATCAATGTTCTATAGATTAATTACAAAAATGTACATAAGTAGTAAATTAAGAAAAAAAAAATTCTAAATTCATGGATATGAAAAAATATGAACAGGCATCATAATTTCACAGATGACAAATTATTTTTATATAGACTATGGAATTGTACAAAATTGTGTAAAAAATGCGTACTACGGATAATGATCGTAATTTCTCATCAAAAACTATCGATAAATTTACAAGCACGAAAATTAAAAAGTAAATCAATTGTATATCACATGGAACATAAGTAAATTTTTTGGCATGTTCATTAAAATATAAAACAAAAGTAACCACGATGAAAAATGGGGTTAGCGTATTGAATACGTTATGGATGAAGTATCCACGTGCTTATTGTACGTAAACAAAAGGGTTCAGGATTACATTCAGGAAACGAAACAGAGGGAAGCATTTCTCCCCTCGACCCGTCACCTACTCAAGCACACAACACTTTTTCCAACAAGATATGGACAACCGGCAAGTACGGTGTAATGAAGGGGGAAGAGGTGTTTTCTATAAAAAGAAATTCAGCAAATCCCACCCCACCATCACCACCCCGACATTACTGCCGCCGCCGCTACTGCCGCCGACAGCGGGGTATACACATCGTATCGATTCCTATGGTTTTTACCAAAAGCGACCGATGCTTTAGTAAAGGGAAGGTTTTCTCATCCCGTATAGTTTATGGTTTGGAAAAAGTGAAGGAGAATGTGGCAGCGTCGGCGGCGGTAGTGGTGGAAGCTACGCAGACCCCCGTTGACAGCAGAAGACTAATGACTGGTCCGGGTTATATCGCCCTCACCAACGTTTTGCCATCACGAATTGTCCCTGCTCGTCTTTTATATTAAAAAATAAAAATAAACAAATAAATAAAAAAAGAAAAACACATTTATACATTATATTCATTGTATATTATTCGTGTGGTTATTATTATGCCAAAAACTTTTGGTCCCGTCATATTTTTTATATTTATTTAATTTAAAAAAAAATTATATCTCGTCTGTTATATTGGAAGAAACGGTGACCAAACTATTATAACTTCGTTTTACTCATTTGAAACTTGGATTTTTTAATATTAAAAATAATAGTCATAATAATAAACATCATTATTTAGAATGGAAAAGAAAAAAAGACGTAAAAACGTAAAGAAAACATGTCACAGACGTGTTGGACATAAAAACGCCGTTTCGTGCCAGAATAATTAAAAAACTCTTTTTTGGGGTAAGTATACATACTAATACGATGATAGAGATTAAGAAAGGGTGAGCTAATTTTCCAGAGTGAAGCACCGAGATGGTTTAATCCCAACAACAGGGCCGAAATTAAACCTTAAATCTAGCTAAATCTCGGTGAGTATCTTAAGTATTTTTTCTTCTCTCTATCCTCTCTCTCTCTCTCTCTCTCTCTTACTTTACCTTTTTTTAAATTCTCCCCTCGTACCTCCGTTTTTACTTACACAAATCTTCGTTTTCTGTATTTACAATTCACGGACGAAAACGAAAATAGTAGAAATGAAGAAGTACTCATTCCAATTAAATATGAAATATGAAGTGCACAACTATTATCAACCAAGAAATCATTCATACACTACATACTATTTCTTACTTATATGTATGATCCCCTTCATCTCATCATTAGGATCTATAATAATAACTTAAAATCCAATACATTTAAATGTATGTTTTTATATAAAATTCACTTTTATTTTCTAGAATATGTTTAAAAAAACAATAAGATGAAAAAGAAAATAATTATTAGTCAGGGAAAACTATACACACGAGTGCAGAAAATTAAATTGGCTCAGGATTGACTGAGGCGCTGAAATAAGATAATAACCAATGCACCCCAAGAATTATACGGCCCTAAGGATATTGCTTTTTCTTTAAAAAGACCATTAACTCCAATCGAGTTCCTTTTTTTTCAATCAGTAATTTATCGCCGGCACACCCGGACTTCGTTTTTATCCCAAGAGCCAACTCCAAAATATATAATCAACATAATTTATACAGAGCATCAGTAAAAGTAAATAAATACTCATATTCTATTCCTTAACAGAAAATTGCATTTTAGGGAATTTAAAAAAGTATACACAAATAAATAACAAATCTCATAATTCTATGAGAGGAAATTGAGTTAAAAATAAAATCAAAGATTTCAATTGATATTAAATATATTACATTCGTTTTAAAATTTAATGGAAAGCAAAACCTTGTTCATAAAATTCGAAGATAATAGTATTATTAACTTATAAATAGAGATTATTGGATAGAAAAAGATTAGTTTAATGAAAACAAAATTAAAATATTATATATTACTATATACATTGTACATGATAAAATTTCTTGACTTGAATTGAAAGTGGAAGATTTAAAATTTTCATTATTCAATTATAAAAATGTATACAGCTTAAAATCATGTAAATGTATATACGTATATTACGTAATAAAAATATATTTTTAAAATGTCTGTCCAATTGTGAATATTAAATTTAGTATTTTAGATATACGTTTCTCCAGCCCCCCCCCCCCCCCATATTGATTTTGTCAAAAATATTTGCATTAATATTTAGTAAATACAAAAAAGCACCAGACAGGAAACTTTCAAAAAATTACTTATAAATCATAAAATATTTGAGACAAAAGTTTTGCAAAGAATTAATTTTATTTTCAGGCGTGTTGGAGAAACGTCTCTCACACTCCACACTATTTTTCGAATTTCTTTTAAAATAAACTCATACAAATTCTTTTATCATACAAATCCAAACAAATCCTAACTAAATATTAATGCAAATAATTATGACAAAATTAATATGAGGGGAGGGGCCGGAAAAATGTACGTGTATTCTAGATCGGTATACATACCTATTGTAAATGTCTATAATACGCAGAAAATATAATGGTTGTATTTATTTGTTTTTTCCCTTTAGAGACGACGTAGCGCGTCATCGTGGTTGTGAAAAATAACAGGAGGACATTTTTATAAAATTACATGCTATTTGGCGTGCAGCGTTTGAACTTGGCCATCATCAAGTAGCCGCCCTCCTCGAGGGTGAAAAATCTAACGTCATACACAGGGATTTCTTCTTTTTTCCTCACACTATATCTTGTCTGCTCCGTTGTAGTCTTTTATATAAAGCGACGAGCATCGCGTGAAGGCAGAGCACCCCGTCATAATTCTTATAGGCGATGGCACCGTCCTAAGAGACGCTTCGTATAACATCCCTTAATAGGCATCCTTACGGCTCCCCTCATACGCTCATTATTCAACCCCAGCCTTCAAAATGGAAAATGTCGTATATATATATATATATATATATATATATATATAGGTATATTGGTCTCTCCTCCACCCGTCCATCACAGTAGAACCACATACGATTCAACTACTACCTTTTCTTATCCCACAGTGGCAAATATAATTTTTTTTCTCTCTCACCGAATTTCTGTTTCTGTTGGCCAATAATCGGATGTGGTTGTATAAATCTGACGATAAATCAAACGCACAACAAATTTGTCAGTAGACGTTTTTCCCTTCCATTTCTTTTTTTGTCGAAAACCTTCATGGTGATAAAAAAAAAATCATTTCCTCGTTTTCCTTCTTGAAAAACATTATATATATAAGAACAGTCTCAACGGATGTCAGTTTCTCTTGTGCCTTCCTACCTATCTACGATATAATAAAAATAAGGAATATAAATAAACGACACTTACCTCTGTGTCGATTTGTTTGTTTGTCAAACATTAACATCGCGTCTTCGATCTAAAACATAAACAAGAATCAATTTAATGAACGCATACGAAAATACATTATCATATTAATGAACATATTTACATATTAGATATATGTATGTGCGTATATATTACAATATCGCGAATTTACGGAGTGGTTAAAGTACAGTATAGTATTGGCAATGGAACGTCTATCACACAACTTAAAATTAATGTTTATAGAATTCAATAGTTTATTACACATTCTTTTAATATTTTGGAGCAATTTCAAACACGCAACCTACTACTGAATAATTTCTACTGATAATTTACAGCGGTGAAAAGACCAGGTATAATATGTAGGAACCTGAAGTTTCTTTTTTTATCATAAGGCCTACAATTGTCTCAACCCCATTTTTATATATAATATGTTATTAGCGCATTAATATTTATACGTATTATATATGCTGTGAATACTTCGTACAGGGGTGGTCTGTTTTGCTGCGTAATCCGGTCGATACGGTTTTTAATATTTATTTCGGCCGATAGCGTGTTTCTGAACGTGTGTGCACGCACCCCTCGATAACATCGTCAACAACGTCGACGATACCTTTACAGCAAGTAATATGTACATAAACAAATTGGGAATATAAAAAACGTCATGCTGACTTAATATACAATTTGATTTAATTTTCACTTATAAATGCAGTAATTATTAAACCACATTGCGAGTATAATTATTTGAAAATGTATACACTTATAAGCGATTCCCGTTGAGAATGATAAAAATAAATAAATTAAAATCTTTTTTCCAGAGAATAAACCGTATGAAAACGCAATATGTACAACGAAATTCTTTTGTGATATTTTATGTACGCACAACCTTGGCTCTCTTCGTTTCGATTTCATTTTATACTACTCCGTATTAATACGTGTTTAAGATTAAAAAACGAAAATTTGAAAACAACAGAAAACGCGATGTGAGATTGAGATCAGCACATATATGTTATAAAGTCGGTATTTATAACGATAATGTATCGCTCACTGGAGAGCCCTTTGCGGTAATTGGTTAATGGATGGGATTCTAAATAAGCCGTAGACAAATAAGGTTATAATAGAGCCTAAACTAATAAATCACGACTACGCCAAGTTTAGAAACGAAAGGGTGAAAGCGAATGACTTAAAAATAAAACAATTTATTTTACGAAATGATGATTCGAAATCGCTCACGTACTAACAACAAATTTAATTAATATAATTAAATCATTAATTTTATTTCATTAAGTTTAAAAGTAAATACGAATGTGATACATTGTCGTTGTAATATGCACACATCGAGAAAATACGGTCGGCAATAATGGTTGTCACTTTATCTGTTATCTCCATTATAAGGAACTCGATAAAAAAAAATCCTCGAAAGTTTCAGGGGGCGAGAATTAAATGCCAAATTGTGTGAGATACTGCACACAGACAAACAAACACCCACATACTTGTATATTATATATATTATATCCAAGAACTTTTGGCCTCTACTAAAAGGTTAAGTGAAACGAGTCAAAAACTTCCGAAAAGCCTCTCATACCGCTTAGAAGCAACCAGAAGCGGCGGAGAAAAATATATCTAACGTCTACGCTGCTATAATCAAAACGAGGAAAAAAGTATATATATATATATAATAAATTGAAGAAAAAAATGCATGCAGCTCTATGGGTCTTCGGGGTGAATTCGAGTGTGCGGCATTGAAACGGTGGTAGATGATGGCGCCAAAAGTCTCTCTGCTGACCCGACTTTTCGGCTGGTGGGGAAAAAAATATATATAAAACTTTATAATAAATGTTTGTTCTGGTAAACTTTGAATGTGTGACTACATTCATTCAACCGTTCAATTTTCGGCTCCGTTCCTTCACTGAAACACGAGTTTTGCTTAGTTGGCCACTCCGACGACGTTTAAACTATTGACACATGATTTGTACAGCGGCCAATTTTTTTATTCGATACATTATATACACAGTGATTGTTAACTATACTGAAAGTTAGAAATATTATATTTGTTCATAGATTCGTTTCAAACATTTGTTCAATTGCAGATCTGACATCAGCCAAAGCAACCGATTTTGACACATTAATATTATTAAATATTAATACACTCATTATTTGATATTAACAAACAATATAATATTGAAATTATTCATGAATGGCCTAACATTATAGTAATTGTAAGAAAAATTTTTATATTAATTTTATTGCGCATATAAGTGTATTATTCAAATGTACACGTGGAATTCACTTTTTAATAGAATAAAAATCGAATGGTTATTTGGTAGGTTTTTTATAAAAATTTAACGATTTTTATTCATAATTTTAATATCAAGTTATTTTATAAAAATTAAACTATTTTCACCCAAAATGCGGGTGTCACTTAATTCCGAAGGATTTTTTATTTTTATTTTTATAATTTACACTAAAACATTCACGAACGGTAGGTACCTACCGAAGAAAAGTTGCTTAAACTTTTTAAATTTATAGGTTTAATTTACTTAAGAGGATGTAAATCGTAATTTCGAATACAATTTAAGAACAACAAAAACCATAAAAATAAAATTATATATCGTTACTTTTAATTTGTCACAAGTTAAAAGCTAAATGATTTAAGAATTAATGTCTCAAAAAGACTTCGAAATCTATGGCAATTACACGTTATTAAGTTTTTTTTAGCGATCATAAAAAACCTATGCTAATGATTATCATAAGACAGAGAATTATAGATTCCAAAAAGTATCTTACGATATAAATATTTAGAAAACCGACAAAAATTACTATACCTATCTAGAATGATGTGGTATGAAAATTTAATAATTTTTCATATTCGTGTAACGCTTTAATTTTGTAGTCGACTATACGAATACGCTTATTAACTATAAATTGTTACCAGGAAACTTATTTTTTTAATTTGTTTTTCTTATACTAATTAGTATTCCTATACATAAATATCTATCAAAAGTTGATTGTAAAATTATTTCTAAAAAAAAAATTATCAAAGTAACATAAATATAATTTATTTAAATTAATTATTTTTTATGGTTCTTTAATTGGATCATACACAATTTTACATCCACAATCTTCTTCCACAATTATATGTTGACATTTTTCTAATTTTACAGCCTTACAGTTTTCAGGGTAGAAACAGTGAAACAATAACATACACACGAACAGCGATAATCCAAATAAGCAAAAACAGCAGATCATAAATTTGCTGCGTGCGCTGTTGAACTGAAATTTTGGATTTTTATTTTCACAATCGGTTGCTTCTTTAATTTGATCATAGGAATCGACCCACATCTTCGTTTTTTCTCTACTCAAATTTTCTTCTGAAATATTGTAACTTGTTATGTACTGAATTGATAAATTATCCATGATAGTAGTTACAATATAATAGGCTGCAAACATGGAAAGTATGAACGCTATACAAAACCATTGGACACGAAAGTAAGGGCAAATTAATAACATTATTAGGCAACAACTAAAGGACATTTTAATACATTAAGACTTGATTGTAATATTAAAATATCTATAGTAACCATTTCAGCAAATCGTAAGACATTGAAACCAACATAAAACTAATTAGAGAAAATATATTCATTTTATTTATGTTCATAAAATATAGGTACTATCGTTTCCATATATGAATTATAATCATAAACTTTAGAACAATTATTATTTAAGTTCAAAAACAATGACACTAATATATCGGATTTGAACTTTGACTTTGTCATAAATCTGAAGTTCAATAAAATATCGCTTAACTGAAAGTTATGATACACGTTATAACATGATTATTGAAAAACAAGTTTTTGAACATTTAAGTATTTTCATATATATATATATGAGCGTAAGTGGGTATATGTATGTGTATGTTTGTGTTTTCATACTATTTATAACATAAATACTATCACAGACTACCATAGAGATAAATTATTTATTCTGGAACTAAACAAACAGTAACACACAATTTATTAGTAAATATGCATTTCTTTAAATATAATTAACAGTTTCGATGCATTATTTTTATTTTTTATTTGCAGTTGGAAAATCTGTAAATATACGTTTTACAATAATTACAAGTGTTATACAGTTAACATAAAATATAATATTAATATATAATATGATACATTTTTATGAACTATTATATTTTATTGGTTTATTTTTTTTAGTCTATGTAAATTATATTCATAAGTTAATGATACAAAAGCTTAATTATAACAACAAACAGAAATACCTTTAGATGAAATTCATTACTTAAAATGGACGATTAAATAACGGACGTTTTTCTTTCAAAACGAGTTACATTAACATTTGTTTTGATATTTTCCGTGAGTTAATTTTAATATTTTATAAATTATTTCTTAAAAACATATTTAGTATGTATATTTGAAGAAAAAACATAACTAATAAAATTAGTGTAAACAATTTTCTTATTTGTATAAATCACAATTGTTTATATAGGCAGACGTCTTTTATTAATTTTCTTAATATTATGTACCTAAAATAATTTCATAAAAAGTTATTTTATTGGTGTAAATTATACAAAAAAACATTATATTATCTGAATGTAATATTTCGATTTGGAAGGGTCAATATTTTCTTATTCTACATGAATTTAATAAAACCATATTCACCTCAGAGTATTAAGTGATAAATTTCACAACCAACCTCGAGTAGTAAATATTCACTACCCCTCGAGACTAGCGAGTAAATTTATTAATAATGGGTATAGTTATTACTTTCAATTGAAAACACACAGATATAGTTTGTTATATATAATTGAACATTTCATGGATTCTTCCAGGACTCTGGGAGAGCCTTCTCAAAATTTTTATAAAACTAGAAATTATCTCTTCCGTGCTGTGAACACGTTTTTTTCATCTCTTTTTTTTCACTAAACAATGATTACATTTTTGCTACCCCCCTTATTCATCCTTTTTAACATTATTTTTCTACCAGAAAACAAAGGAAATCCGGTCCCCGAAGTTCCTGACGCCAGTCCTCTGCCCC